AAGTTGGCAAAACTCAAAGATTTCAGGTAATCAGTTACATCAAAAAGTTAAGAAATTTAAAGTCTAATGAAACAGGCAGATTTTTATTTTGTACTTCCACATTTTAATTGCTCTTAACTTGAAATATTTGAATAAGCAAATATTTATTTTTCATTTTATCTGTTCTCTTCTCAAACTAAACTCATGCTCCACTCGTCACCATGATGGTAACCCCCCAAAAAACCCAACATAACAGAAACTCTTGTCAATTAGCTAAACATTAAACACTACTAAATCTCCCACTTAACATTAATCTTGCACACAAAAACATTATATAACACTTAATTTTAGTATTTACTCTCCCTTTCGAATGTCATGGCAAAGCATGTGGGGAAATAAAAATCCCAGCGCAGTTTCAGTTGAATTTAAGTTTGTCTAAATTAAAAGAAACAAGTTCATAAAATTAGTAGATTGAACTAATTTGTTTAATTTAAGTTGACCCTACTCAAACCAATTAATTATTTTGAGCAGTAGGGTTTACAGTATTTAAACTTAAACCTAAAATGTTGATGTTGACCAAAGAAAGTCCACGGGCACGGACGTCAACAAAATTAAGAATTAAAGTAGCTGCATAATAAAATCGGACTGCTAAATAAGCATGCTTGATGATTATAGCCGACAAAACACTCGTTTTTAAAAGAAGATTTAATTAGCCACATTCCAAAACCAATAAAAAACATTCATTGTCATGATACTCGTGTCTCCGCCAAATGACAACAGTTACACAAATACGGTTTAAATAAACAAACAGGCTTGTTGTGGAGTCAACCAGCAGCTGGCAGAGATCTGCTCTGATGATGCCAGTCACAACTGTTGGTCATTAACAAGTACAAGAGAGAATGAACCAGACGGGTGACTGATTACAAACCAAACCAAGCACAAATTCACATGGCTAAAGATCCATACATGATTGAAAAAATACCAGAGGTTCTTGTTAACCTAGTACTTATTTCTTCTTCAATGCACACAAACCAAAAGATTCCTACACCCTCAAGTTTCTGTGAATCTCTATATGATTTGAGTCCTTACTTCAATGCAAGTAAAATCGATCATATCTTGAAAATAAGACCAATAATTTGAGGATTCATTCACTTCTGGAACACAAACATGTTGGATGAATGAATTACATAAGTCAAAGGTTTGTATAAATCACGAATGTTATAAGCATTAGAGACTGTTGCCTTAGGAAAGGCCATTTTTGATGGGCTCCATGATTTGTTGAATGAGTTGCCAGTAAACATGAAGAGCAGATGGCCTATACTAATCCATTTCATTTGGAGTCCATCTCATCTCTTCTGGTTAAACATGGAATATCCATGTAATATCACGCAATGGGGGCGATAACAGCGATAAACAGTTGTCTTGGCATCCTTTGTTCCTGATTGCCACATCTCAAGATATTTCATTCCTTTATCCGACGGATTAGAAGCACGACTAAGATTCGTATGTTTGAGAAATGTTGTCTCATAACCCCATCGTATTCAACTGAAACAGTTCCGACACTAAAACAATGCACATAACCCATCAAAAAGCATACTAAATAGTGTTGTTAACCTTGTTCACATTAAATAAAACTGCTGACGACGTGAGGGTGGCGAGCAGATGTCCACCTGTCCTGACAGATGTTATTTTCAAGACGAGTCTCCAAAACGAGCTTTAATTTCCTGTCATTATGTTATGAATGCATTCAGGAGTGCAACGCAAGATAAACATCCTTCTGCAGTCACTGTGCCATCTAAGCCCAGCGATGGGAAGACGAACTTCTCGTTTCTCCCAGGTGAACATGAGAAGAAGACAAAGAAGAGAACTTAAACACGCCAATAACAATGAAAATACACAATTTACCTCGGTTTTTTAGTTACAATTTAACTAGTCAAGTCACATTTATTTAATAGCACTTTATACAATACAATACAGCAATAAAAAAATGCTAAATTTCATCAATTTATATGTGAAGAATGATCAATTGGAGCTGTAGAGTTTGATTGGATGTGTGCCCCCTTTGACATCAAAACCAACAGATCTGGGATACCAACAGATCTGGGATACCGGTAAGTCTGTTTATTTTGCTATCCTACCCATGCACAACTAAATTGAGAGTTGCTGTTTATTATTTGCATTTAAAGTCAACAGTGAAATTAAAATGCGCCCACTCTATTTTCTAAATGCATGTTATAGATCTTATTGTGAACAATTCATCCATTGACTTCGTAATGATTATGCCTAATCAAAAAATATCATAACTAGATCTTCAGATGAAAACAATATGCAGGACTTCTCAAATCATTTTAGACATGATTGCAAGTGCTCATCTGCCTCCACATTTGAGTGCAAACTCAAAAATCCAATAAACAATGAATGCACAGAATCAACACATTTTTTTCTTTTTTTGATAATGTTCACAATACGGAGTAAAAGATCTGTCACTACTGCTGTTTCATATAAGTAGGCCTACCCCTTGTATTGTTATTATTTTAAAGGTTCCTAATTTTGTTTTAGATTCTCCTACAACACTGGTTTACATGCGTCCAAGTAAAAAAAAAAGAAAACATTAATTTTCTCATAATATACATTCCACATCATCTCATTTCTCAAAGTCTGAAAACAGTTTTTTGAAGATTCAGTCTCTCTCGTTTTACGGTGAGCCTACTCTGCTCTGATTGGTCAGATGGCCCAGTCTGTTTGTGATTGGTCGACCGCTTACAGCGCGAGTCGAATATGAAACGCCTATTCTCAAAACAGAATTTCAGCTCTTCCTCACAGTAACGATGGCGTCGTTTTTTTCCGTATCAATTCAAGTCCGAGTCTCATCCTTTGGAAATCAACAAGCCAAACTCTTCCAGTCTCGGCTGATGTTCGCACGCGGCCAATGAAGACCATAGGCTGGCATTAAGCAAATTTGTTACAAACCTACGTAGGTTCGTGCAGGAATTAAGACTAGAAATACTGACGACTCGTTTCAGCAGTTCAGAATCGATTCTCTCCTTTAAAAAACTGTATTTGTTGAGCAGCACTTAAACTGCAAGCCTTTAACATTTACAAACAGCTATGTTAGTTACACACTGCATCAAAGGTAGGCTATATTAAAAAAAGCATAGCAGGGGCACTTTAACAATGCTTTTCCCCTACCATCTGCAACCAAACCACTATTCAGGGAAATAAACATTCTGATAGTTCACACACAGTTGTCTTTGTTTATTAAACTAGAATATGTCTATGAATATAGGCTTTCCAGGTGGTTTTCATCCTCAGAGACAGGGGTGCAATTTTGTGTGCTGGTGGGAAAGAACTGACCATCAGAAGGATTTTCTCCTGTCCGTGTCCCCCACGTATTATTCCTGATACGCCTATAAAGAAAATGGCTTTATTACCCTTGACACTGCACCGCACAAGGACTCGGCTGTGCAACTTGTCTAATCAAATGTGTAATTATCTGACCATAATCTGATACGAGCTGGCTGTTCAGAAGACAGAGAAAACACTCATACTGAAGTCCTTTGAGTGGCACAGCACAAAGACTCTTGCATTAATATCTACACTGTTCACAGATAATAGAACACTTCTGGCGATTTCTTTGTTTAGAGCAGAATAAAAAACGACAGCTCATTATTAACTAAGAGGAAGTTGTTCCTTCCCTTACAAAGAAATACCATACAATGGTAGAGAAATGGTTTTAGATATGGTAATTTGATATTGCACTGCATCATTACCATATTGATTTTCAATGGTACATAGAAGAATACCATGAAATGACCATGGTGCATGTACAAGCACATATGGCATTAAAGGGATAGTTCACCCAAAAAAATAATATTCTGTCTCATTTACTCCCCCTCATGTTGTTCCAAACCTGTATGAATTTCGTTCTTCTTCTGAACACAAAAGAAGATATTTCAAAGAATGTCGATAATCAAACAGTTCCAATATTCCTACTATGAAGTCGATGGCTACCGTAAACTGGTTACCAACATAATATTCTTCAAAATATCTTTTTAATTCAACAGAAGAAAGAAACTCATACAGGTTTGGAACAAAGTGAGTAAATGATGACATCATTTTCATTTTTGGGTGAACTATTCCTTTAACATGTACTTTTTGGCTATGGAGCAAAGCCTAAAGCAGGGGTTTTTAATATATGATACCAAAGACCCAGATATATTATCATCCTTGTGCGGGTGTGCCATTCAAAAGTCTATAAATATACTCAAATATAATCCAAAATTAAGTATCATCTCATATCAGGTATATAATCTGTCATTTGTCACTCAAGCACTATATAAAAACTGCCATTAAATCATCTTAGTTAAAACTCCTAATTCTGATGAATGGATCGGTAACATGTGGTAGAGATTATCACTTCAATAAAGAAAATTTGACAAACCCATCATCATGTAACTGGAGTGTTGATCCATAAGAACATTCAAGAGCCCTCTAGTGGATTTCTGACAGCCTGTGTTTGAAAGCAACTTTATTTTGACTGCCTTTGTGTTATTTAAAGCACAGTCCCTGGGCTGCATTTGAACCTGGTAACTCCACAGTCCACGATAAAGACAAAAAATATACAAAATGACAAAGTGCATGCATATGTGTGATATCTTCACCTGAGTTCTCTGTATTGTTTCAAGGACGCGCATAATAGACAACAATGAAAACCTCCCAAACAGTAGGACTTTTTAAATACCTAATTAGCTGTCAATCAAACTGGGCATCATTACCGTTGACAACATGGAACGCGCCCGCGCCCAAAACGACCAAACCTGCAACACGCGACTATGATGCCTAGGTAGGCAGCTTACTAGGCTGTGAAGTCACATAATAAGGGTTTATATCACCAAAACTGAAACTTGTTTACTGAACTAAAAGAAACTCAATCACTGTAGTTTTTCAACGGACGCTATTCTTGCAAAAATCACAACACAATACGTCAGTAAGTGAGTAGTAACGGCACAAGTGGACCTTACCTTCAGCATTCCGAGTTAAAGAAAGTCCCATGATTTGCAGATGAACGCCAATCTAATTCCTTTAAAAAACAAAGCCAGTGATTTGATCATATTCCATACAGAAACACTTGTATGTTGTCGGAGCAGCTGCTATCTTCACCCTCCACTCACTCAATCCAAAATACTGCCGTTTGCTCGGATCGCGTGAAGCCGGTCTGTGGCCACGCCTACCGCGATCTGTGATTGGTCGAGCTGTTGCCAAACTCCGCCCACGCACTTGTTCACAAGAGTGGACAAGAATATACTATGGTAAATAGACTTTTTCAGGTATTTCAGACAACTTTATAGTTTTCACACCAGGTCATTTAAAATGATATTGTTTACTGTTTGGGTATTTTAGGATGAAATATTCTTGGATATCAGTTTAATAACAACTATAAACTGAACCTGGAGTAATACTGGCCCCAACTGGAAGACTGAGGCAAAATCTTCTTTATAGATTTTCTTCTTTGCCTTAACTAACAAATTAGGATTTTTGAAACAAACCAGATTGAGAGTATGATGCTTGAATTAATTTATAGTACCAGTCAAAAGCTTGGAAACATGTAACATATTTTTGACATATAACACATTAACATTATTTTATGTAATGATTTCTGAAGGATCATGTGATACTGAAGACTGGAGTAATGATGCTGAAAATTCAGCTTTGATGACAGGAATCAATTATATTTTAAAGTATATTAAAACCATTATTTTAAATTGTAATAATATTTCACAATATTACTGTTTTGTGTGTGTGTGTTGTGCAGGTAACTTCGTGACAGGTTTTTGTGCACTTTTAAAGAATTGTAAATTTAATAATTAGACTAACTGTATTTTTCACCTTATATTGAAATGCAAAGAAAAAAGACTAAAATAAATAACTATTCACACTGACCACAGGTTCATGTATAGCTATGCAATACTTTTGATGCAATATTGTTAATAATGAATGGAACATTTCTGTTGGTGTTGTTCTGTGGTTGTTGTTAATAATAATAATAATAATAATAATAAGAAGAAGAAGAAGAAGAAGAAGAAGAAGAAGAAGAAGAAGAAGAAGAAGAAGAAGAAGAAGAAGAAGAAGAAGAAGAAGAAGAAGAAGAAGAAGAAGAAGAGAAGAAGAATACATATCAATATTATAAATAATATTAAATATACATATTATTATTTATAAATATGATTATTATTATTATTATTATTATTATTATTAATAACCACAGAAAAACACCAATAGAAATGTTCCATTCATTATCAACCCGTTACCAAGTGTATGTACCAATGTGTACATAGCCGTTAAATTATGCAAAAAAAAGAAAACAATAATTTAGGTAGCTATCAGAGTATAAAATAAAATAAGTACAACAGATTTCAACTTATTTATCAGTATTATACTTAGTAATAATATATAGCATTTTACTTCTGAACACAACACTACAATATTGCTTAAAATCAACTACATCTCCCAGAATCCCACGGTGCCAGTGACGTGTCAATCCTGAGACGATGTCGTTGCTAGGTGATGCGACGCTCTCAGACTCACACACTCGCTTCCTGGTGCCGTTTCATCTCCGTTATAGATAATCTTGTGCTTTAAAATGATTGTTTATATGTAAATGCGTATATAAAGGAACATGTCATCAACGCTAGAAACTCTCTTCTCATTGGAACTGGTGATCGATTACGTCCGCGTCGATGGATCACGTGGCAATGTTTTGGATCTTGCAGTGGGAGTCCGCTTGTTAGATTTTCCCACACTTCTCATATACCAATCAGGACAAGAGGATTTCTCATCTAAATCAGGCTATACTGACCTGTGCTTGTCACCTGAGGCTTTATCTCAACCCGACGATGGAGACAATCTGAAGTATTCCTTCCATAAAGGCAAATCCTGTCTTTTTAAGATGAATTTGCACTCGTTACACACCCATCTCCTAAACACCCCTCTCTACGCAATGGTATTGGATGTAAAAGATGAGATTCCCAAACTTATAGGAAGCTCCTTGATATCCCTGGCTAAAGTGATGGATAGAATTAAACTGGATGTGGATAAACATGGTATTGGCACTCCGAGCGCTCATGGAGAGAGACTGTTCACCCCAATCTGCAATCTGATGGGACACAGCATCGGTGCCATTTCTCTGGCTTATAAGATAGTAAGTCTAGGAGCGAATTTAATCCCTCACATCCCAGATAACAGAGTCTATGAAGTCGGCCTGACCCATGGAAAAGGAGAAGAACTCAAGTCAGTGCATTCAGAATGTAAAAGTTTGGTGTATACTGGAAAAGATGCGATGTCTGAGAACAATCCTGGGAATGTTCTCACACAAGATGGATGGTCAGCTGATATAGTGATATCAGAAGACAAGCATCCAGGGCTTCCAGCGTTCACTCAGACTGAACAGAGCGTCTCGTGGTCTGAAGAAGCACAAGAACACACCACTTTCTGTCCTCCACCTCTGTTTTACAGCTCCGGCCTGAAGAGCCAACAGGAGAGGACAAGTAGGATGTTTAACTTACAGTGTTATATTTTATAAATGGATTTCTAAGGGCTTTAAATGTTCAATATTATTAAGGCCTGGTTTCACAGACAGGGTTTAGATTAAGTCAAGATTAGGCCTCAAGTAGCTTTTATAAATGTGTCTTAGAAAAAACATGTTCATACTGGTGTGAATCATGAGGCAAAACAATGGCACTGACAAATTTTAAGATATGTTGCTTTCAGTTAAAACAGCATCAAACATGCATTTTAATTCGGGACTGGGTTTAAAGGGTTAGTTCACCCAAAAATGAAAATTATCCCATCATTTACTCATCCTAAAGCCATCCTTGGTGTATATGACTTTCTTCTTTCAGAGACACAATCGTAGTTATTAAAAAATATCCTGGCTCTCTCCAGCTTTATAATGGGATTGAATGGTACCTTAGATTTTGAAGCCCAAAAAAGCACATCCATCCATCATAAAAGTAATCCATACGACTCCAGGGTCAGAGGTCACTATCCCGCCGGAACTAGACTTGTGAATGGTCGTTGCCAGAAGCCAGTGATTATAGTTTATAAAGTATATTTTTCTTAGAAAAACGCTTCAGAAGGCCTTTATTAACCCCCTGGAGTCGTATGGATTACTTTTATGATGGATGATGCGCTTTTTTGGGCTTCAAACACTCTATTTACTCCCATTATAAAGCTGGGAAGAGCCAGGAGATTTTTAATATAACTCCGATTGTGTTCGGCTGAAAGTAGAAAGCGATTTACGGCTTGAGGGTGAGTCAATTATGGGATCATTTTCATTTTGGGGTGAACTATCCCTTTAGGCCTTGTCTGTGAAACCAAGGGTAAAACTTTGCTGAAAAGCCTTATATGATCTCTGATTGATAGCTCATACTTTTAAGCAAGTAAAAGCATTTTAGTATGTGTTCATCAACACCGTGAGTCAGTGATGACTGATATTTATGCATTTTATGTAAGTATTTATATTATTTACATTACAAGCTTCAGATTTTCCTCTTACTTTTTGTCCATATAAATATCAGCATCTGCACGCAAATTGCATATTTTTGCTCAGTTTGGTTCCTTTTCCTCCTCGAATATGAGTGCCATTTTTCACTTTATCATACTATATGAGCCATAAAAGCATGATGTTTCAAATATGATACAAAACATACCATCAAATATGCAATCTGTTCTGACTATTGTTTCATCTGTCAGGCTTTACAGGGTTACATGCAGCAATGGAGAGTCTTGATTTAGAGGATCCAGAAGATAATGAAGAATCATCTGTCATGCATGAGGTTCCAGAGATAACATCTGCAAAGGTGGAAAGATTGAGCAAGTCAGCTTTAACTCCAGGATCACAGCATAAAGAGACTGATTCAGCTCCACTTGGGAACGTTATCAGGCAGTTACCGCTGCTGAATGCTTTATTAGTTGAACTATCACAGCTTCACGGAGAGATGCCACACCAGCAGCCGTTATCCATCCATCCTAACCTGGCGTGGCTGTACACATCAGCACAGGATCCGTCAGAGCCTGAGGATCAGAAAACTATCAAAGCTAGTCCTAAACAGAGACCTGGACAATGCAAGATCAAATCAGTGAAGAGTGCAAGTGGTGCAAAGAAAAATGAAGAAAAGTTGCAACCTAAAAGGACGCTTAAATATGGCTTGACAAACACTTTTCGTCTCAGACTCAAGCTGGTCAAACCAGGCCTCACCAAACGGCACGAATGCATCGAATACCAGAACATAAAACAGGACCAGCCAATGAGACAGGCGTCATCTGACCATAAACGTGTCCGGAAGTCAGTTTACAGAGGTGTCAACTTAGATGAAACTACATTAGTTAGCAGTTTTCAAATGGATCCAACACCAGTTAAAACAGCATCAAAATCACAAACAAGACCAAGTTCAAATGAAAGTAATGTTGCATCCTTCAGAGAGGCGACTTTGACTGAGAAAGACAAAAAAGTTGGAGTTCATATTCCAAGTGCGCTCAGTCAGTATTCAGACCGTCCAAACTCAGATCTGAGCAATCCTGGCGTCCAGAGTTTTAAAGAAAGCATCAGGGAAGATAGTCGAGCGAGCAGCCGTCCTCACAGGTCAAGCCTGAGTAATGAAGAGTATCAGGACGACTTCACAAGCCTCAACACAACCGACGGATACTCACCTGACCCGCTTAGCAGTCCAGAACCAAACAGGCGTAAAACAAACAACGCTTCGAGTGTTTCAAGTGCTTCTGGTCACAATAAAGGTCTTCCGGTTCCTGTCCAAGCGGAGAAATCTCCTCAACGGTCTGTCAAAGGCACACTGGTCATCCGCCCGCGTGTGCAGACCTCGGCTCTGAGTCTGTCTTCAGACGACAGCGAGGACGGGTTCGTGTCCTCTAGCGTTAGACGTCGAAGACCTGGATCACAAACCACTTCATCTGTCCGGAGCAAATCCCAGAGCTTTGGCAGTGACTCCGGTGAGAAGAGCCGGGAGTCAAAGGACTCAGATTTACCTGTGCCAAAGTCCAGTTCAGACGCGGAAGAGGAACGGGACAGACTGGGCTCTCTGGGACTGGACAAGAATTGCCATCACATCTCAGAACTGCTCTTCAACAAACTTCCAGGATATACACTGTGATTAGACCGTGTTGATCTGATAAACTGCCAGAGAAAAAGAGTGAACGCTAGAAACCAGCAAACGGCTTCTTTATATTAGTTCAATTCAATATGAATAATATGTTTTTACATGCATATAGACATTCATTCATTGGCACAGTTATTTGTGTGTTCAAATACAGCTTCAATAAATATTTAATGGTTTTATTATTAATTCATATATTTGTAATTGTTTGTAAGAAATCCACAACAATTTTTACAGCAATAAACGCAGTTGTTGTTTCTAAAGTAGAACCTTGAATATATTAGTAAATGATTAATGAACCAATGTAAAGTCATTTAATATGGATAAAATGGGAATATGGATTATATTGAATGAATATTTGTTTTTAATGAGATGCGCTTTCATGCTTTTTATACAAAAACGATGCCCTGTATAAATGCTTCAATATTTAAGTATAACAGCAATGTTGTATTTGATAAATTTTAGTGCTGTCAATGTCAAATCGATTAATCGCAGCATAAAAGTTTGTCTTTATATATATATATAATATATATATATGTGTGTGTGTGTGTGTGTACAGATTCAGAATGTGAGTGAAATACAAAACAAATTAATGGAGAAAAAACACATTTCAAGTTGTTACAGCCTGATGCAACCGAATTTGGACTGTGATGTCAATAGGTAGAAAACAATAATTTTATTTATATGGTTTATATTAATTTGTACTATTTCTTAGTTATTGGCACAACACCACCTCCACATTCTCTATTGTTTAACTTAAAATAAAATAGTATTTTTACATTAAACTGTGATTGGTTTTTGTTATGGGTTTTTTAACAGCATGAATTAAAAAAAAAAAAAGTATAAAAAGTGCAGATAATCAGACGAAACTTTACATTAATATAGTATTAAACCCTGTAAATAGTATTTTTACAATTTGTAATTTCTGCTTCTTTGAGAATAAATACTTTCAGAGTAAAATACATATTTTTTCCCCTCATAAAAATAGCAGATGATTTAATGTTCCTCGTAGTGAAGGAATAAATTATTGCACAATTAACTTGCACAAGACCAAGTTTTCCTAATTTATAAACGTCCACTGTCTTGAGCATAGGTCTTGAGTCGCTCGAGCGGGTGACTCCCTCTGCGCCTGCGTCATAATAATGCTCCCGGAAGTTGCAGTAATAAGTGTGTGGGACGCTTTCTTTTTACTGTCTATGGTGGGACGTCTATGGTGGGATCCATAGACAGTAAAAGGTGGGATCCTGACTTGAACTAAAGCAGCAAGAATCATCTGTGAACGATGAAGCACGTGTTCCTGACTGGCGTTCCCGGTAAAATGCATCATAAATTTACGAAGTAAACACAACAAAGCCGGGCATTTTGTTCTGCGTGCCATGGAACGTGAATAAACGCGAATATAAGTTTCATTTACAGTTAAAAAAAAGTATAGACGACATGCTTTTAGAGATAAGGACTCGTTTTGCATGTTATTAAATATTATTAATATACTAATAATTGTAGAATAATAAACTTAACACATCAACAGCCCTCTGAGCTTTGAAAGAATTAACGTTACCACAGTACAGTAATGATATGAGGTGGTGGCATATGTACTACTTTAATATGCAAATTAATCATATTAATATTAATCAATTTAATTACAGGAAGCAGTTTAAAAACTTAGCAGTAAATGAGAGAGGGAGAGTTAGTGGTTGCTTAAAGATCCTCGTCTTTTAATAGACATTGTACTTATTGAGTCATTAAGACAAACAGTTTTCATTAATATGTTTAAATAAATAATACATATAGATACTTAAATTAAATCACAATTAATTATATTGATATTAATCAATCAAAGTATTCTGACCACTAACCCAAGCAACCAATTTCATACATTATTGTGCTAGAATATCACGTCACAGCATTTTCCTTCTTACGTGGAATACTTTTAAATTGGCATTTCATCAATCAATTAATATGTGCATGTATTAATTTATCTGTTAAACAGCCATGCAGCAAGATCATTTACTACAGAACCCCTAAGGACAAAAAGGAAAAAATATGAGATGGGAGGAAAAATAAGTCGTCAATGATTTTGCATTCTCTCGCAGATGTTTTGCAAAGAAACTTTGCGTTGAGTTCGCTCACAAAATATTTGCGTTCCTCCAAAAAACGTTGTGTTTGCTCTCAAAAACCTGTTCATTGCGAGTAAATGCAAAGTTTCTCAGTGGAAGACAAACTTATGTGAGATGAGAGAACGCAAAAGCATTGCCAAATCATCTCATTTTTTTTCCTTCACCATATCTCTTTAAGAGCTCTGTAAATTACAGTCATACATAAGGGTGTAACAATATATCGTGTCACAAATGATCGCAATACAAAAATGCAACAATATGTATCGTGGATAGTTCACCCAAAATAAAAATTACTGTGTGAGAAAAAATTCAATTTTTCAGAGTTTTAGTGTATGTTAAACTACTATATATAATGTATAATAATCCAATGGGGGGGATATTTGTGGGTCCTGAAAATGCCAGATGTCTGATGTTACCAGTAAAAAGTGGCCTACATTATTTTAAATATATCTAGTCAGTGACAGCGCAAGCATATTCGTCTAAAATAATTCAGTATTTTCAGCTTCAGAATCATGAATATTGTTATTCTGGTGTCTCTATTGTCCTGTGCTTTGGGTTTCAGCACCAAGTCCAAGTCTATTCATTTACACACACAATGTAAAACCAAATTCAGCATTTTAATCAACAGTTCATTTTTGCTAACCTTTTATCATATGTCTTGGAGTATCGCAATAATATCATATCGTGAGTTCAGTATCGTGATGTGTATCGAATCGTGATATGAGGGTATCGTTACACCCCTAGTCAGGCGTCATTATCACCAAATAAAACCATTCAAGACGAGAGCAAATTACCCCAGAATGAAGTGTTTTCCTCTACAGGTGTGGGTAAAACGACTCTGGTGAAGAGTGTGTGTGAGGCTGTGGTCTCCTCCGGGGTCTCTGTCAGTGGTTTCTACACAGAGGAGGTCCGAGAGAGAGGCAGGAGAGTGGGCTTTGATGTGGTCACGCTCACAGGTGATCGAGGACGTCTGTCCAGGCTCAGGTATCGTCTCTCCATCAATCAGACGCTTTTAGTGCTGTTGTCATCCACTGACACACTCTCTGTTTGATCCCAGCACTGAATCCGCCGCAGGTGGACGTGAATACAGGGTCGGACAGTACGTGGTCGATCTTCAGTCGTTTGAGAGTCTCGCACTCCCTCTTTTCAGAAACGTATGTATGGATGGATGATATAAAGAACCTACAGTACATAGGGGTGGAACGGTACACAAAAGTCACGGTTCGGTTCATACCTCGGTTCAGACATCACGGTTCGGTACGATTTCGGTACAGTGGAGGGAAAAGCAAAACAAAAATGCAGAAGGCATTGTATTTTTTAAATAAGTTTTATTAATAAAAGCATAGAACCAATTTATTTGTAGTGCACTGACAATAGTTTTATATAATTATGTTATTAATTAAATTAATAAAAAAGACAAAAAGACCTTGCGATATGTTTGGTAATTGTACCTGAATTAATTTAAAATTAATTTGCTATATTTCAGATCAGTATATTTGTTTTCCTTAATTTTAATTAACATTATTAATTAACAATGTAACATTATTCTCATCTGAATTATAAATAATTGATTTCTGTATAAAATAATACTACTATTAAAAACACATTCGATTTTCTTTTTTAATCAATCTAGAATGTGTAAGATTAGTGCTCCGAGGACAAGAAATGAAAACCAATGCAATATGATGAATGTCCAAAAGATGGGACCCATGACTGTTCGGATAAATATGTGTTGCTTTTAAAACAGTGTGTGTGTGTGTGTGATTTTGGTTGGGTGACAGTTGTAGGTTACAGTTTGACAAGAGTTTACAGTGTGACAAAAGCACAATGTTGTGTTTTATTGCGAGTGTGCACAAATATAAGTAAACACTTTGCAGGTTTAATGATCTGTATGAACAAATTGGACGGAGTATGTTTTTTATGTTCGCACTGTTCGATCGCTCCCGCGCCTCTCTCGCTCTCTCTCTCTCTCACACACACACACACACAGTTTGATCGCGCCCGCACATCTCTCTCTCTCTCTCTCTCTCTCTCTCTCTCTCTCTCTCTCTCGCGCGCGCACACGCACACACACACACTCCAGCATTGCAATCTTGACATCGCAGCCTGTTCATTATAGCCTGGCTCCGCCCTCCTACGCACTTCCGCTCAATTTTATTTTCCTTCAGTACTACGTCTGGGATTGTGCTGTAGACTTTGGTTTCCAGAAATAATTTTTTTACCGGTCCAATCAGCGAACAGAGGGAGTGGCTGAGAACGATGACGTTGATGTAGCGCGTCAGTTTGAGTTGGAGTTCAGTAACGGCAGCGAAGAAAGACGTGAGAAAATCTATTCGGTCCGTTGTTGCAAAACTGCCGAATATACAGAAGTTAAAGCCGGAGCAAGATCAATGTTTGCTAAGTGTTGTTGGTGGCCATGATGTTGTGGCCCTCCTCCCCACGGGGTTCGGGAAAAGTTTAATTTTCCAGCTCACTCCGCTAGTGGTGAATGAGTTAGCGAAGGCGAACGATAGGATGCAAAGCCGATAGTTGTTGTCGTCTCCTCTTGTTGCACTAATGGAGGACCAAGTGAGGGAGGCAGAGAGGTTAGGAGTTGGTGCTGGGCAGCTCGGTGTGCACGATGATCACTGTACAGCATTTGCGGCAGATCCGAAACGACCGCAGCGGCGTATTGTTAATGATTACACCCAGCTTCGACAGTTGACTGAATACATCACTGTCCTTAGTGTCAAATATACATTTAGAATTGTTCCTTGAACTCTTAAATTCGATGAACAAAACATGCAGCTCTCGTTGACAGACATCTTATTCTAAACATAATCCTCTGATCATTCGGACTTGTTTTTTTTTATTGCTTAAAACAATACACAAGTAATAACAGAAAACATAATACAAAAACAAACAAAAAATAATAATAAAAACAAAACAAAAATAAAACAGTAGGGGGATAATATAAAATAAACATGAACAAGTTAAGAGAATTACATGACACTGAAAAAAGGAAAATAATTACAAACAGATAATGTTTTTAAGGCTTTTTTTTGTTCTCAGACAACTTAATTGAAAAGAGGTATTTTTAAAATTATTTCACAAATATAAGAAAGAGAGGTTTAGCATTTAGATATTTAGATTTATGAATATGGAATTCGGACTTGTTGTTTCCAGCCGGTTTCGACGCATGACATACGTCACGACCACACGTTAGCGATTGGCTATGGCAGATCCTGAGTGACGCTGGGCAGATCCAATAGTTTTGAACTTTAACAGAGAACCCGCCTACAAGGAAGTAAACGTTTCTCAATGGAGCGAGGCCAGACTCTCTGTACAAATGAAATGTACGAGAGTCTGGTAGAACCAGGCTATGTTCATTATGCGGTCACACCAAACGCGAATAGAGCGTCAAATTCACGTCTATCGCGTCTAGTTCGACGCTAGTCCAAAGCGAATAGGACGCGCGTATAAAGCCAACGTTTGAAGTGAACGCGCGTTCAGAGCTAAGCCGATGCTACAGATTATGTGTCCCTAAAGAACCCGCGTATCTAACAGTAGTTCCGCATTACATTAATTAATTTGCACGCGAGTTTTATTTATTTTTATACCGTTTATTCTCCGTGTAAATTCGTGCACCGAACCGTGACGCCCGTACCGTTTCGGTTCAATACGAATACATGTACCGTTCCACCCCTAATGCATACTAAAAATATTTTTTTTTAATCTAAATTGATGTATGATATACAGAATATTGGGGGGAAAAATTAGGAAAAGCCTAAATTCAGTATGTTCATCATATAAAGCGATCGGAAATTTGGACTAAACCGCTTAATTCATATGGATTAGTTTTACGATCTCTTTATGAACTTTTTGAAGCGTCAAAGTTGCGTAGCTGTCAATGGAGGGACAGAAAGCTCTCAGATTACATCAAAAATATCTTAATTTGTGTTTTGAAGATAAACGAAAGTCTTACGGGTTTGGAATGACAGGAGGGTGAATAATTAATGACAGAATTTTAATTATTGGGTGAACTATCCCTTTAAGACACTGAGCGTCAGTGGGCGGGGCCTATAGTGCAATGATGTATAACTATTCATTGATGTCTTGCTCATATGCAAATCTATTTGCCCATGTGACAGATCACAGATCCCACAAAATCTACACAAGCCATTTTTGTAGCTTGATTAAATAAATGTGTTGTTTATAATGAGGAGGATGTTTTAAGCTATGAAACTGGCAGGATGTTTTAATGGTGCAAAGACCTCTTATATGTCAACAGATCAAGGCAAATTTGATCTCACATATCATGACCCCTTTAAGTTCTTATTCACTGGAAACTTTGCAGCACTCAGTCATTTCAGGTTTGAACTTCCTTATCTTCACCACTATGCTACCATCATACACAAACACATATTTCATCTGTCTGTGAGCCATAGTCATGCATTCCTGACTGACACATTTAGTGTGTCTGGAGCCAGAGCCTTCATGTTCATCATCTTTGATAGTTAGCGTAGGTTGCGCCGTGTACGAGACCTGAAACCTTTGAATGAACTTTAATGTTATTTTAGTATCATTAAAGGGATATTTCACTCAAAAATTAAAATTCTGTCATTAATTTCTCACCCTCATGTCGTTCCAAACCCGTAAGACTTTCGTTCATCATCGGAACACAAATGAAGATCTTTTTGATCTCTAACATGAAAGTAGAATGTTTATATGTGAATAAAATCCTAAATTCAATCTGTTCATCATATAAAGCGATCGAGTCTCTTCAGAAATATTTGGACTGAACCGCTCAATTTATATGGATTAGTTTTACGATCTCTTAATGAACTTTTGAAGCGTCAGTGTCAGTAGCGTACAGTAGCTGTCAATGGAGGGACAGAAAACTCTCAGATTTCATCAAAAATATCTTCATTTATGTTCTGAAGATTAATGAAAGTCTTTTCGGGTTTGGAACGACATGAGGGTGAATAATTAATGGCAGAATTTACTATCCCTTTAACTTCTATTTTATTTCAAGTAACGAAAATGGTTTAGTTTTAGTTAATTATAATAACCCTGACGCAATAGAAGTACAACCACCAGTTGTCAACACCAGAAATGGTATGACTAAAAGAATAATTTTGGCATGTCAACGATGCCAAATGCATCGATGCATATTAATACGAACTTGAAGATGTAATTGTGAAAGTGTGAATGACATTTGAGAGTTGTGGAGGATTTATGTTCATCATCACACAATAATAAATGAATTTTATGATCATATTAAACGCTTTTCTGTAATGTTTTGGAGCTTGGCGGCCACAGGTCACAAACACAGCTTTTGTGTCATAAAAGTAAGGAAATCATACGGGTTTGGAACAACATAAGGGTTATTACTAAATCAGTAACACTGTAAAACGGCATGCAGAAAGTTTGTTAAACATGTTTAGATTTGAGTTTCTTCAGATTCAGTTGCATGATCCAGTGTCCTTATCAAACAGATGTGTGAGGGAAGCAAGAAGGTGTTTGTCATCGATGAGATCGGAAAGATGGAGCTGTTCAGCCAAGCGTTTATCCGTGCAGTGAGACAGACTCTGGACGCCTCCAGCTGTTCAATCCTGGGCACCATCCCTGTTCCTAAAGGAAAACCTCTCGCGCTGGTGGAGGAAGTGCGCAGCAGACAGGACGTCAAGATATTTATGGTAAAAATGTGATTTATGTCGCTGGAATTTTCCATGCAAACATCCTTGGCACCTTTCATTTACATGCAACACTTAAACTTACTGTAGAGAGATACTGCAGATGGAAACTTTTTTAGTTTTCCTACTTCATAGAATTTATATGACCCTATAATACAGTCATAAACTTATTTAGGCCTAAATTTAGGATTTATGTATTCGTTTTGCATGTAAATTTTTTATGAAGGTAAAAGAGTAGCAATACTCGAGAGCACGTAGATGTGAATTTGAGAACTTGTACAATACATATTCGTACTTGTATGTGAACATTTACACTCACAGCTCCGATGTGAAAACCTGTAAAATAAAAATCTGAACTTGAACGCTGAGATTTGCACTCGCAGACAATAGTCACAAACCTGTATTCTGAATCTGAAGCTGCAGACAAGCAGTCACAAATGTGTAAAATGCCTTTCACAGAAATACAATGACAGTCACAAACATGTAAAATATATCTAACCTTCTTCTAACATTCAAATTTGCAGTACAACCTCAAATTGGCACTTGCAACTGCTCAAATCTGTCACTGCAAGTTCAAATTTCACGCCATGACTTTTGCTACTCTTTTCGCGATATGAGGTGCAAAACTGATTTGTGCACTTGTAACTCAGTAGTGGCGAGAGAGAAAAGGGGGCGGGAGCGGGGGTGTTCAAAGGAGCCGTTTTATTGGTTGGCGCCTAGCCAATGAAATGGGACTTCTATTGTACGTGATGATGTCACGAAACCCGCCTCCTCGGGGATGTTCTGAAACGCTAACATGGCATAAGACTGATTTAAAAGAAATGAATGAAATTATCAAACTTAGTAAACACCATACTAATAATGCATACTACAGAAAAGCAGATGAGCGAGTGCAAATCTCAGCGTTCAAGTTCAGATTTTTATTTTACAGGTTTTCACATCGGAGCTGTGAGTGTAAATGATCGCGTACACGTACGAATATTTATTTTACAAGTTCTCAAATTCACATCTACGTGCTCTCAAGTTTTGCTACTAATTTACCTTCATCATTTTTCATCCATTTGGATTAGACTGTTTTAACAAACAAACAAACACACTATGTAACTCTTGGCCAGCTAGGAGTTAAAAAACAAAACTGCATGCATTTTATGGAAGAACATTTTGGTTGTGCTTCGGCTCTGCGTGACCGTGCGGATGAATATGACCCTTCACTATAGATAATGCTTTAGAGTGAACTCTGTTAGAGAGCTTCATATGGCAGTTTATCTGTTCAATAAAACACCTTAATCAACAGGGCTGCGCTTCCCAAGAGCATCGTCAGCCTAAAGCCCTATTCGCAGTGGATTAGTATTACCTGGTGACCTCTAGTCATAATTGTGGAGGTTGTCTGTGACCTTAATCCTGTGCGAATCGGCCATGTCTGTGAATTCATCAGAAGAGCAAAAACAAAAAGAATGATTAGATGGAGATGGATGACATGTATAGCAGCGTGCGGTCAGGAACATTCTTCTGTTTATGATATATCATACAGCTAGACCTATAATAACGACAAGACATTTCCAAGCAATAGCCTATTGACATCATATCTGGGAGATAAGTCAGTAAATTCAAGAAAAATCACAGGCTTTGCTTATCCCGTGCGAATGCGCCACACCAAATTCAGATGTGGAAAGTTCAAATTCACTCGAGGTCCGCAGAAAATACTAATCCTGTGCGAATAGGGCTTAAGTTGATCATAGAACAATTGCCACCGATGGTTTACGATCAACTTATGCCCTATTCGCACGGGATTAGTATTATCTGGGGACCTCGTGTGATTTAAAAATTACCCCGCCACATCTGAATTTCGTGTGGCGCATTCGCACGGGATAACCGAAGCCTGTGATTTTACTCGAATTTACTGACTTATCTCCCGGATATGACGTCAATAGGCTTGGAAATTTCTTTTCGTTATAGGTCTAGCTGTATGAAATATTATGACATAAACAGAATAAAGTTCCTTACCGCATGCTGCTATAGCTACATGTCATTCATCTCCATCTAATCATTCGTTTTGTTTTTGCTCTTCTGATGATTTTCAGCTTTCACTTTCTACAAATTGTGTAGTTGCGATATGACCCAGCACCCAAAATACTATCAAAACACTCCAAACCAGCCTCCATTCTTCGTGAAAGATGGATAAAAAGGCGCACATGAAACAAAAACCTTGAAAAAATGATATACGATCCGGCCAAATCACAGAGATGCCGATTCGCGCGGGACTAATATTATCACAGGACCTCTGTGAACGGCGAAATATAGTAGGTAATTTGCGGGGGAATTTTTACTTTACAAATTACAGACATGGCCGATTCGCACGGGATTAAGATCACAGACAAACTCCGCAATTATTACAAATTACTATATGTCACCAGATAATACTAATCCCGTGCGAATAGGGCTTTAGGCTTACGATGCTCTTGGGAAAAACAGCCTTGTTGAGTAATAAAAAAACGCCATCATCTCTGCGTCACTTTTACCGCCACCTCCAAAAAGTCAAGCTAATGTTGATTCTTGTTTTATTACGAGCTCTGTCGTGTTCTGTTTTTGCCAGCAGACTCTCCTCTGGACTGCGTTTGTTTTAAACGGGTTATTCCCCGGAGACTTCGCTGCTCCATGTCAAACTTTTGTCACTCGTTGTGGCAAATAATCCTGCCACTCCCACACCAGACACACACGCGCGCACGCAAGCACACACTCAAATAACCTCTGCCACTCTCACACCAGACACACACACGCGCGCCCACACGCACACACTCAAATAACCTTTGCCACTCCCACACCAGACACACGCACGCACGCACACACTCAAATAACCTCTGCCATTCCCACACACGCACGCACGCACACTCAACTAACCTTTGCCAGTCCCACACCAGACACACACACACTCAACTAACCTCTGCCACACCGACACCAGACACACACGCGCACACACACACACACACACACACACACAGATGCACGCACCCACGCACGCGGCACGCCCACACTCAACTAACCTCTGCCACTCCGACACCAGACACACACACGCACATGCACACACTCAACTAACCTCTGCCACTCCGACACCAGACACACACACACGCACACACACTCAACTAACCTCTGCCACTCCGATACCAGACACGCGTCAAAGCAGCCGGAGCAACTCTATTTACGGATATGACGAGACACGCACGGGAGAGTGACGTATGTACGCAATTTCCCACGAAAACCATTCCGACAGGTCTAAAATATAAACACTTATAATAGACTTATCATAGTGAATCAGAGTAAGACAAAAACACATTTTGGTAGAAGGATTGATGATGTATTGACTCATCATAGTTATATAGTGTACGGTACCTTTAATATGATGCACATTTATGCATTCATACATTAATGGAATTGTTTCACAAAAGTAAAGGCATAAATCTTTATTTTCATGACCAAAAGTGCCATGCACAAACTTCCCCAGAAGATATATTATGCATGCTGGTCCTACACAAAAAGGGAAATGGAAGCGTGGCTACATCTGAGCGTTCATCCGTGAGTCATTGTCCAGTGTGTCTAGACCAGCATGTGATGAATCCAGGCGTCTGCTCCGAGGCGTGTGGAAACACACGCTGTGCACCAGTGCAGGTTTACATGTATTATGTGCTGATATGAAAGCATGAGAACTCAGATTCCTTCACATTGCTTATTGTTTGGCCTGTATGGAATCTGCGCCCACATCAACAGAAGCTCCACAGAATTCAAACTTGCATTGTTCACCAAATTCTATGCATTCCACAATTACTCGTTTATTTATTCAATATTCTTCGTAACGGCATATTGAAAGTGTTTTGAGAAATAAATATTTAAAGGGGCTAAATGTAAGAATTTATGTATTAATCACTTTTTTTTAATGCCAATTTGTGAACAGTTTGTAATGAATCTTACAAATTGAATCTATATCACAAAATATAGGCTTTTCTAGTTATTGATCCACTCGAACTTGCTCTTTATGAACTTGCAAACTCTATGAAATTATGTTTAAAAAAAGTCTCATTAATCATAAACGACTTGGAAAAATCATGAAAACTTGAGCTGGGAACTATCTGCAATGGATGTTTAAAGGGGTCATATAATGGTACATGCACTTTTACAAGTTGATTGTACTGAAATGTGTGTTGGCAGTGCCTGTTCACAACCATGCATCATATAATGATAAAAATCCATCCAGTGTTTTTGTTTTAATCTCCTTATATGTTTTCCCGTCTCAAATCGAGCCGTTCGAGCGTGTGACGTCACAAGCTCGCACGCCCCTCCCACGATTGTTGATTGACAGCAGCGTTTCAACACAGACCCGCCCTCGCTCGTGAGCAATCATAGTCTGCGCGGACCGGCGCGGTCATTGTTGAAATGCTGGAGCACTGTCTATGAGCAGAATGGCGTCTAAGCGATTGTGGTGTTCTGTTCTTGGGTGTAATAACGAACACAGCAGTCATTTTAATGTTCCTAAATCCGAACCGCTGAAGACGCAGTGGCTGAGTTTGTTTTTCGAAGGGAATTTTCCCCACGAGCAACGTCAATGCTCTCATGTTTGCCGAATCATTTCACACCAGACTGCTTTATAAACGAGGGTCAGTATAAAGCTGGTTTTGCTAAGAAGCTGCTCCTGAAAAAAGGATCGGTACCAGATATTCGTGTTCCTGCTGAACCTCTAGAACAACTGAAGTGAGTGTAACGTTTTATTAAACTTTATATTAATATTTATATTAATCTATGCAAATCGCTTGCTGCACGCTTCACAATGAATGCGTCTAAGGTTTACACTCAGGGTACATTACGGCATGTTTTCTATGTATGACGTTCTCAATATAATTCATAATCCCACGTTTATAATGAACAACGCGTTATGGTTATTGTGTGATTGTGTTACAAACGGTATATGCACAGAAGAGAGGGGCGGGGTGAGCAAAGCTCATGATCATTTAAAGTCATATGCACTGAAACGGCGTGCTGAAAACAGAGCTGTTTTTGACCAGGTAAAATAAGATTTCATAGTTTTTTTTTGAAGGAGTGAAGGGTACCGATCCTTTTTTCAGGAGCACCTTCTTAGCAAAACCAGCTTTATACTGACCCTCGTTTATAAAGCAGTCTGGTGTGAAATGATTCGGCAAACATGAGAGCATTGACGTTGCTCGTGGGGAAAATTCCCTTCGAAAAACAAACTCAGCCACTGCGTCTTCAGCGGTTCGGATTTAGGAACATTAAAATGACTGCTGTGTTCGTTATCTAACCGGAATTGCACCCTGATCGCGATATATGCACCAACAATGACGAACAGCCCGGAGATAATCGAAGCTTTCTACAGCCAACTGCACCAAGTTCTAAGGGCCATCCCAAACTCTGACAAGATCATTCTACTAGGCGACTTCAATGCCAGGGTACGCCAAGACGGCACCACATGGCTTAAAGTCCTTGGGAAGTTCGGCACAGGTAATGTGAACTCTAATGGTGAGCTTTTCCTCTCACTATGCACAGAGTTTAAACTTGCCATCACCAATACATTCTTCAAACACAAAGCTGTGCACAAGAACTCATGGATGCACCCGCGCTCACACCACTGGCACCTGATTGACTTTATTGTCACTCGCCAGCGTGACATGGAGGACTTCCTGGATACCAGAGCCATGCGTGGGGCAAACTGCAGCACAGACCACATATTGATAATGTCGACAACCCGTCTAAAGATAAGGAAGATGATATACAAATTTAAACAGCCAATAAAAAAGCTGGACGTCCTCAAACTAAAGCGTAAAGATGTAAGGGAAGTTCTTGAAGCAGCTCTAAATGAAAGACTGACGGACCCAACCGTTACAGTCTCTATAGATGAAACTTGGAACTCATTCAAATCTGTCGTCTATGAGACCGCAAAGACGACACTTGGGATCGCACGCCAGAGAAACGAAGACTGGTTCGATGAGAATGACGAGGAGCTCAGCAAACTCATAAAAACAAGAAATGAGGCAAGAAACAAAGTGCTGAATAGAAACACCAGATCGGCCATAGCAGAACTCAGGAAGCACTCTAAGCTAGTGCAGAGAAGATGCAGAGAGCTGAAAAATGATTGGTGGTCAAAAAAGGCAGTGGAGCTACAACAACTGGCAGACATGAATTATACAAAAGAATTTTACCAGAGCATGAAAGCAGTATGGGGTCCGCGGGTCAACTACCCCGATCAACTTCTCGCTAGTGATAATACAACCCTACTAAGTGAAAAGCAGGACCTACTGAACAGATGGACTGAACACTTTAGCAGTCTATTAAATGTCCGCACAGATGTCGACCAACATGTAACGGATATTATTCCTCAAGCACCTACTCAGCAATGGATGGATGCCCACCCTACCATTGATGAAGTCCATAAAGCTGTGAATTTGCTAAGTAGTGGTAAGGCCCCAGGTGCTGACGGAATCCATCCTGAGATAATCCAGCAAGGTGGCACCAAACTACTTGTTGCACTTCACAAGATCATAACTGCAGCATGGGATTCCCGATCTGTCCCACAGGACTGGAGGGACGCACAACTGATTACCCTTTTTAAGAAAGGCGACAGACGTGTATGTGGGAACTATCGAGGCATCTCACTTCTTTCTATCCCAGGAAAAGTTTTTGCCAGAATTCTCCTCCACAGACTAGCAACCCATGCTGAAACAATCCTCCCTGAGGCCCAATGTGGTTTTCGACCAGGTAGAGGAACGGTAGACATGATTTTCTCCCTAAAACAGATACAGGAAAAGTGCATTGAGCAAAATAGGCCTCTCTTCATGGTATTTGTAGACTTTACTAAAGCCTTCGATACAGTGCACAGAGAAACATTATGGAAGATCCTGCATAAAATTGGTTGCCCTGACCTGTTCACTGACCTGATCGCCTCCCTCCATAATGGCATGAAGGCTTCAGTGAGCATGAAGGGGGAACTATCTGAAAACTTCGTTGTGCTAAATGGAGTGAAACAAGGTTGTGTCCTAGCGCCAACCTTGTTTTCCCTCTTTCTTGCCACAGTCCTAGCTAGTGCTTTTGCAGATTGCGATAAAGGTGTGATGATACAGACAAGGCCAGGAGCTGACCTCTTCAACGTAAATCAGTTCAAATCATTAAGTAGAACTAAACCTCTCCTTGTCCGGGAACTTATGTTCGCCGATGACATTGCCTTTGTCGCCCACTCACATCAGGATATACAGGATATTATCACCCGCTTTGCCACAGCAGCAATGGCCTATGGACTCATGGTAAATATAAAGAAGACAGAAATAATGTTCCAGCCACCCCCAGGCACGGACGAAAGTAGCCAAAACAACATCCAGATCGGAGGCGAAAATCTAACCTCGGTCAAAGAGTTCAAATATCTCGGGGCAATAGTCACCTACAACAACAAACTAGATGCCGAATTATACCTACGTAAGTCTAAAGCTTCGTAGGCATTCGGCCGACTAAAAGAAAGAGTCTGGTCCAACAAAGACCTCACCAAAAAGACCAAATGTGCAGTATATCGTGCAATTGTTCTCCCAGTTCTTCTATATGGAGCAGAATCTTGGACAGTTTACATGACCCAAGCACACAACCTTAATGCCTACATGATGAGACACCTGAGACAAATTCTAGGCATTAAATGGTGGCACCATATATCCAACAAAGAGTTACTAGACAAAACCAACACACCTAATATGTACGAAACACTAATCCAGCGCAATCTGAGATGGGCTGGCCATCTGAGCAGAATGGACAATAGTCGACTGCCAAAACAGATTATCTACTCCCAGCTCAAAGACGGGCACCGTGGTATAGGCAGGCCAAAGCTGCGCTTCAAAGACACAGTTAAAAGGAATCTCAAGCTTAAACAGATCCCACTAGGCAGCTGGGATCGCCAAGCAAAAAACAGGACTCTGTGGAGAAATCTAATTCGAAGGAAGTCGTCATCGGACACGATGGACAGCAATTGATTGAAAATAAGTGTTTTCTTACAATACTAATGAGAATTTGTAATTAAAGTATATTACAAACTTTTAATTTAGACCCTAAAGAATCATACTAGCTTGTACAAAAATGGCATTATATGACCCCTTTAACAAACAACTCAGCCCTTGCTTTTGCTCTTTTCACAATTGCTCATCTTTTCCGTTCTCATTTTCTTCAGAAAATGTAAAATTCCAGTTAAGTTGTGCCGTCTGTTTTTCCTCCCACAGGTCACAAAGGACAACAGAGACACGATCTTTGATGAAATTGTGTCTGCCGTACAAGAGTGCGTGAAGTAAAAGAGGAGGAGCTGATAATATATTTCTCAAGTCATTTTAATTTCATTCAAGCGCTCCATTCTTTCAATATAGTGCAGTGTGTCACACGTGTGAAATACATGCATGTCTCTCTCAAACACGTCTCATAATGGATCGACCTCTGCATTATTGATTCGGAGCAAGCGCACTGGAGGAAGGGAGTGTGAGAGTCACGGAGACTGGATGAAGACGAGATGATGCCTCGTCAGGCCTTAAATGCTCTTCGACATCTTCAAATCCATAAAGAGGCCACTAAGGTGCCGACCTTTCCTCTCTCAGAGACGTGCACTTCCTGCATCTACATTTCCCATTAAACAGGAAAATAAATTAATATTTGAGTTGACAACACTGTCAGTCTTCCAGATGTTTAATTTATCCTCAAATATGGAAAAGCGTCCCTTAATATGCCTCTCTTTAGAGCACAGAAAGACAAATTTCAATTTTATGATTCTTTTTTTGAATAGGAAATAGGAAAATGCTTAAATTATGTTGTTATTCATTAAAACCTTCCCCTGTGCAAATGAAATCTGAGAGCTACAACTCTTGAAAGAATAACAACATAAATATTGATGGAATAACACCATAAATTTGGCTTTTCTTCACCCAAAGCTATAATGTGACTTCAGAAGACTTGGAATGTAGTCGTACTATGAACTACTGTTATGGGATGGTTATTTATTTATTTATTTATTTTTGGCACTTGACAATCCCTGGTCCAATATATGCTTGTGCCAAGCAATTCTGGAAAACCTCTTGTGTGTTCAACAAGATGGACAGGTTTTGAACGACTAAAAAGTAAATTATGACAGATTTATTTATTTTTATGAACATAAAATTCCTTAAACACAAAAAAAGTATTGACAATAATACATTGAGTATAATTAAAAAATGGAAAAAATAAGAGTCGTTCAGCATGATCACTGATGGCCAATGCAATGCTATTAATCTAATCACAACTGTTAAAAATATTGACATATTGACATTAATGCATGTAATATTGTTAGAGAATGCAAAAAAATAATGATCACAGATGGCCAATGCAATTCTGTTAAGCCAACCTCGACAGCTTTTTCCCCAATTTATAATTTTTGGTCTCACTTTAAGCATTTTTAAGCACTGCATTTTAAATAAAAATAAGGAATTAAGCAAGAAAGTGCTCGAGAAGGTTGTGTGCTCGTGTTAAAAACCTATAATGTTAATTTTGTGAAATCAATCAAATAAAAAATGTATCAACAATTGCATTTGCATAGTTAGTGAAGATTTTCTCTTACATATGCTGTGGTCAGACCTCTTTCACAAACAAAACTCAACTGTGCTTTTGTCTTAATATGAATAAAATTGTGAGTTTTTGCAGGACTGAGGTCTAGAGATGAACGGGCCAAGGGTCAGTTGGATAACAGTTTGTCCAAATGCAAAGCAAGGAGAAAGGCCACTGCCAGGAGAGATGTGCGTCACAGGCCTTTCTGTGCCAGTTTTCAGACGCAGGTCTCTGACTGATGAATAGTGAACATCATATTGCTCATATAGTATGAAGGGGTCTCAAAAAGTGTTTAAAATTCGATACGAAATGACATTCACAGCCTATTTTACTTGCATATTCTGTCGCAAGTAACTCAAGAATGTGTCTTCAGTGTACGGCCCCCTAAAAAGTGTTGAAACATCGCTTTTAAAGTCAGCAATTGGAAGTTGCGATAGTCTTTTCTTCCCTATTGTGACGTATATCCGAGTGTAATGGCTTCTCAAACAAGAAAAAATGTAGGGCGGGGCTTGATTTTGTCTGTGGGTAATTGATTGGATGGTTGTGGTTCGCTATTGGTGGATCTCGTGTGAGTGACAGGTTGCCCCGCCCTCGTCATCAGAGAAGAGATGCTGCAAAATGGCTTAAAGGGGTGGTACAGGATTTTGGACATCGGGCCTCATTTCCAAGTTAGCCTGGGTGTTATTTATCAGTGGAGACAGTTTTCAAAAATGTTCATCCAGTCGTTCCAGTTGCATAGTTCGCCGGTGCTAGGCTAGCGCGAGTCAACGGTAACTGCTAGCCTGCCATTAAACACAGTTTTACCCACTCCACAGTACACCAAAAGCAAACAAATCATAACGCCAGACTATCGAAGTATCGATGTAAATGTCTGTTGGGAGAATAATGTTAGAAATCAAACTACCCTTTCATCGCATTGCAATAGTTATACTTTGAATAGGCTAATAGGCTAACTTGGAAATGAGGTCCGATGTCCAAAATCCTGAACCACCCCTTCAAGGTATTAAATGCGGTTAAATGTCAAAATAACTCTTTAAGTTGTGTGGGATGAAGGTAAATTAAGCGCGACCTGCTGTGACATCACAAATCACGGTGCATTGTGGTCTATGGATCTGCCTGAAGTATACATACTGAGGGTCTGTCCAAATAAACTTCCCTCTCCCACTTGACGAAGTTGAACGCATTTCAAAATGGCGGCGGGGAAGTGCTTATTGAAGTTCACGAGTGTATATCTTAAAGTTAAACGCAGCCCAGGTCATTTGAAGGTGAAGGGCTGCAGAGGGCCAGGGGATTGTGGGTAGAGTTGTGGCTGTCAGGGGACTAGCGAGGGTCACCCACTGCTATTCTGAGCCAGCTAAGCTAAGTCAGTGCCAATCGCCTGCAGTGGCAGCACAGATGGATTACATAACCGTGCTGACGCCCGTCCCGTTCTTCACCCACTGCGACGGGCATCTCTGCCAGAGACCACTGACCCCATATGCATCTGTGTTCCAACCTTTATCTCTATCTGTCTTCTTGCATAACCAACCAGTGAATAACATGTGCCTTAGGAAATAAATGTAACCATGAATGTTTCATATGAAAGGGTAATTGCATTTGTTTTCAGTTAAGTAGACATATAAAGACTAATTTTACTAATAAAGACTATATCTTTACATTTTCCAATGTTTTGAATGTTTTGCCTATGCAAAACTCACCACCATAATATGTTGTTGTGGGAGAGTGTCATGTTACAAGGGTGGTTGCTAGGTCATAGCTATGTAATTGTTAAGTAGATTTTAACATATTGATATGCAGTTGCTAGGGTATTCTGTGTGTTTGCATGTTTCTATGCAATTGACTGTTAGCATGTACCTGTGTGGTTGGTAGGATTTTTTTGTGTGTGTTGCTATGCAGTCGCTAGGGTATTATGGGTGGATGCATTGCTAGGTTGTTGCTATGCAATTGCTAAGTCATTCTAAGGAGCTGTTAGTATGTGGCTATGCAATTACTATAATGTTTTTGTGTGGTTTCCAGGGTGTTGCTAATTGCTAGGGTGTTTGTACTGGTGCTAGGTTGTTGCTATGCAATTGTTAAGTAGATGCTAGCATATTGATATGCAGTTGCTAGGGAATTGTGAGGGGCTGTTAGAATGTTGACATGTGATTACTATGATCTTTTGGGTGGTTTCCAGGGTGTTGTTATGCAGTTGCTAAAGCATTCTGAGGGACTGTGTTAGTGTGTTGCCTTGTGATTACTAGGATGTTTTGGGTGGTTTTAAGGGTGTTGCTATGCAGTTGCAGTTTCTAGGGTATTCATGGTTGCATTGCTAGGATGTTGACATGCCATTGCTAAGGCATTCTGAGGGGCTGTTAGTGTGTTGATTTGCGATTACTAGAATATTTTGGGTGGTTTCCAGGGTGTTGCTATGCACTTGCTGGGGTATTTTGGGTGGCTGCATTGCTAGGGTGTTGCTATGCAGTTGCTAAGGCATTCTAAGGGGCTATTAGTGTGTGGCTATGCAATTGCTATAATGTTTTGGGTGGTTTCCAGGGTGTTGCTATGCAGTCGCTAGGGTATTCTGGTTGGTTGCATTGCTAGGATGTTGCTATGCAGTTGCTAAGGCATTCTGAGAAGCTGTTAGTTTGTTGCTATGTGAAAGCTAGGATGTTTTAGGTGGTTTCCAGGGTGTTGCCATGCAGTTAATTGTGTATTCTAGGTGTTTGCATTGTATTGGGTTGCGCTGATGTTCCTATACAATTGCCAATTAAAAATAATTAAATGGTAAAATAATTCTCAATAATTCTGTGACATTCTGGTCTCTAGAATCGGTCGCTTCTTTCTAAATAGGCCAAATTTCTCGTCTGTTTAACGGTCTGATGAGTAAGTTTGATTGCTTAGAAAAGTAATTGCATTATATTTTTTGAAGTAATATTAGCCAAAAGATTCAGCATAAATGTTGACTCGTTCACTTTTAACACCCGAGCATCATTACGTCCAACGATTTTGCATCCTGTTTTTTATTCATTTTCCTCTAAAATTGCTTTCAGAGCCGCTCCCTCGTGCGCACTAAAGAGGAGTTTAGCCTCAGCGAAAAAGGACAGAAGCAATTTCTAGAAGTCTGCTTTATCTTAGCTTGCAGAACAGACTTGGTCATAACCACGAGCGTCTGCCCATAAGAGCCCCTCCATCCGGTGCCAACACATACAGATGGTGAGAAGCGTGTGTGTGTGTGTGTATTTCTTCCCTCATTGACAGAGCCGTCAACACAAAGCCTTACTGAATAAGCATGTTTGGACGCCTTCGAATCGGCTTTCATTTCCATATCGCTGACATGCATTCATAGAGGGCAGACGCTAAATGCCCGAGCCCTCCCTGAATGAAGCCCAGGGGGTTTACACAGTCTCGGGACTATAGAAAAGAGCGAGGGAGCTTTTGTGAGCACCCTTTTAATATATTACAGTGTACAACAAGCTTCCTCACACATTGAGATGAATCACAACAGACAGGCGTGCTGCCAATTAACCACTGGCTCAGAATACAACAAATGAGAGATGCACTCTGAACAAAGCAGCGTTTGGAGAGTAAAGAGTGAGACGGCAGCATATATTAGTCTGAGATAATGAATTGGTAAATGCATGAAAAATAGACATTTGGAAATTAAAGCCAGAATTTTTGGGTCTTGAAATGTGTTTTTCAAAGGTGAAAGCGGTTTAATCTTAAAGTTAATGATAATTCAAATAAAATATATGTAACAACAACAACAAAAAATTACACCCAAAGCCTTTTTTTGTCATTTTAATAATTAATAAATGTAATTTATTTGAATGCTTTTCATTTAAGGGCTTATTAGTTTTTCAGAGAATATTGATTGCAATATTGACATATTTGCAAATAGTTCGACAAATAAATTCAGTTAATTTAACTAATTTATGTATGCATA